CTTTCATTGGGAATGGTTCAGATAAATTTGGGTACAAATTCTGAGATTATCAAAATTAAGAGTTCATCGAGAGTAGGGATGTTACTTTCAATGAAATGAAGATGTACAAGAACATGACCAAAACTCAGAATTGTCCGTCAATTACTTCTGAAGAGTATGAGTATGTTAAGATAGAAGATACCGATCATCAGAAAAGAGGAGAAAAAAGAAAGGCTTAATCAAATGAAGCATAGGAAGTCCTAGTCAATTGCTACTAAAGTCAAAAGATTCGGAAGAGCTAATTGATCCACAAAGAGGTATCCTTTTTTGTACTACTTATTGTTGATAGATAGTTGTAAACCATAGTGCTATGAGGAGGTCACTTAAGTTGAAGAATTAAAGGAGTGAGAGCTTTCGATGGATAATGAAATACAGTTCTTGGAGTCAAATCAGACCTAGGATTTGACGGTATTACCAGATGGCAAAAGAGCATTATACAACAAGTGGGCCTACAAGCTGAAAGAAGAGTCGGATGTTAGCAGACGCAATGAAGCAAGACTTGTTGTGAAGGCGTTTCGGTAGAAGAAAGAAGTGGACTATACTAAATTTTTTTTCTCTTGAGATGAAGATATTGTGTTGATCTTGTTAGAAAAAGAAGATCTACATTTAGAGCAAATGAATGTAAAAATCGACTTATTACATGAGATTTGGAGCAATTATACATGGTGCAACCGTAGAGTTATAAGATTACAAGGAAATAAAATTTGGTCAACATATTGAAGAAAAGTTTCTAAGGCTTGAAGCAGTCCCCGAAATACTGATATAGAAAGTTGGAATACTTCATGTCAGACTATGAGTATATAAAATGTCAGGCATGACACTGTTGGTTCATCAAAAACTTTAATAATTGTTATATCTTGCTCCTTTTGTATGTGGATAATATGTTGATTACAGGGGAAGATACGAGGAAAATCAGAGACCTGAAGGAGTAATTATCAAGTGAGTTCGAGATAAAGGATTTAAGTCGAACCAGAAAGATCCTCGAGATGAAAATCAACAGAGACAGAAGAGCAGGTACATTAAGGTTTCTCAGGCATAGTATGTTGAGAAGATCACTATGAGTACATAAAATGTCAGGCATGACACTGTTGGTTCATCAAAAACTTTAATAATTGTTATATCTTGCTCCTTTTGTATGTGGATAATATGTTGATTACAGGGGAAGATACGAGGAAAATCAGAGACCTGAAGGAGTAATTATCAAGTGAGTTCGAGATAAAGGATTTAAGTCGAACCAGAAAGATCCTCGAGATGAAAATCAACAGAGACAGGAGAGCAGGTACATTAAGGTTTCTCAGGCATAGTATGTTGAGAAGATCATACAGAAGTTTAACATGGGTGAGACATAACCAGTTTGCACCCCCTTAAATAGGCACTTCAAGCCATCCAAGGAATTATCGCCTAAGTCAGAAGCAGAGCAAGCACAAATGGGGAGAACTTCGTATGGTTCCGCAGTTGAAAGTTCGATATAAGTTATGATTTGTATCATATCATTACATATGTAGTGGGAGCGGGCAGCAAGTACATGGGCAATCTAAGCAGGCATCGTTGGGAGGAGGTAAAATGAATTATCAAGTATTTGAAGAGAAAAACCAATAAGGCGCTTGATTATGGAAGTGCAGAGATCAGTCTATAAGAATTGTTGATTCAAATCTGGTAGAAGATCTGGACAGTAAAAGTACAACAAGGTAAATCTTCACTTTGAGGAACATAAGAGTGATTAGTTTTCAGGCTGCAGAAGAATGTTGCATTTTCAACTAAAAAGGTCGAATACATTGCTATCATTGAGGCTAGCAAGGAGATTATTAGACTACAAGGCTTTACGGCAGTGAGAGGCAAGGAACAGGAGATTGGAAAGCTTTATAACGACAGTATGAGTGGTATTCATCTTGTTACGAATGTTATTTTTCATGTCAGGACAAACTATATCAAGTTGGGTATAACTTTATTTGGTCTCCACTAGAAGATAAACAGTTACTTTTGGAGAAGATATGCAGCCCAAAATTCTGTGAACATGTGACGAAGGTGACGATAACCGAGAAACTCGAGTTATGCTAAGCTTCAGTTGAAGTCTAGAAAAATTGAGATCGGGGTTGAGCCAAACGACGGTATGAAAATATGAAGATGGTACAGATCTGGAGGGCAGGTGTTGTGTGCTATCAGTCTCCAAGTGAGAGGTTATTGTGAAATGAGCTTGAAGCACCCAGGAGTACACAATTGCAAAAGCCATCCAATAGCGCCTATAGCATATAGTGTAGCCATGTCAGAAATTAGCGTAGCTACGCCGGACTGTATGACTACGCCACAACTGGGCGTATCTATGCCAGTGAAATGCGAGCTCTAGGTTTGTGGAACAGAGCGCACAAGATAATTACAACTCCGTGTGGTTATGCCTTTGAGACAATTCTCTATTGTTTAATTTTTAAGTTTGTTATTCGAGCGATGAGGGAATTAATGCACATGCAATGTTTCTCGACAAGGCTTTCATGAAGCAAAAAATAATCGAATAAGAGGACATCAACGAGGGCTTTCTCTTATGAGATTAAGCGAAAATTTTGAAGCAAAGTTTTATAAATTCCTATGTTTGCAAAGAGTTGATATGAGTGTGTATTTTTATAGTGAAAATTTGATTGTGTTCTGTATTTTTTTTCTTTGTTCTCGATTTTTTCCACGTAAATCCAGATGTATTTTTTCATATTACTATGCTATGCATTTGCTCAATTTATTTTGTTCTAGATTTTTTGAAGTGGTGTGATAATATTCAGTAGTGTGGTTTTGATTGTGAACCAATCAAAGACCTAAGTGCTCATTCCATCCCAACAAATAACACTAGAGAGGAGTGTTTGATTCTAGTGAGAGCAATGGTTGATGAAGTGAGGCACAAAATGGAGAAGTTCAATGGATCGAACTTCACATTCTGGAAGATGCAAATAAAGAATTTATTGTATCAGCAAAGATTATATTTGTCATTATAAGAAATCGTCAGTGAGCCTGAATCGAAGATTATGGAGGAATGAGAAGTACTAGATCGAACAACCTTAGGTTTGATTTGTTTGTCACTTTCTTCGTCTGTAGTATAATTGCATTCAATATAGTGAATGAGAAAAACACGGTGAATCTCATTGCGATACTGGAAAAGATGTACGAAAAACCAATTACTTCTAGTAAGATTTTTTAAATAAATAGATTATTCAATATGACGATGGTGGAAGGCAGTTCAGTGGTTGAATACTTGAACAATTTCAATATTGTTACTAGCCAGTTATGTTCTATGTGGATCAAATTTGATGATAATATCATAGCACTATTAATTCTATTTTCATTATCGAACAACTGATAGCAGGTGGAGGTTTTCGATCTCGATTGTAGCACAGCAGGTTGTGGCTTCGGCAGGTTCTTCCTCAGCGGCTCTCATTCAGTTCAAGACAAGGCCTTTTTTGTGATCTTCTTCGGGCTTCCTCGGGACAGAGAAAGAGAAGTGCAAGCATTAGTTCCTTGCAGCAGAAGGAAGAACAAAGAAGAAAAAGAAGATTGTTCTCCCTTGGCTTCTTCTTGGTGGCTTGTGGCAGAAGACAAATTGAATTTATTTCTCTTGTAAGTTTATCTTCTTTGATATATCTCGGTGTAGAGACAGAAGAAGGGAGAGCAAGAAAGTGAGAGATTCCTCTTGTAAGTCGAAACGATCGACTGGTGTAAATTTCTCAAGTAGTAAAATCCTCTGCAACTCCGTAGACGCAAACAATTTGCCGAACCAAGTAAATTTGTGTGTTTCGATGTGTTACTGTTTTCTAGTGAATTTTCTCGTTCTATTTTTCGCTTCATCGTTGATCATTATTCTATTTTATATATATATATATATATGTATGTATGTCTACACCACAACAATATGCATCCTTCTGGGCAAATCAACGATTTGCTGGAAAGTTCAGAAGCAAAAAATTGTGGCTCATTCATCCACTGAGGCAGAGTATAGAGCCCTAATTATTGTTACAATTGATTGGTGGTTAAGATGTCTTCTAGAAGATTTGGACATATCACAGCAACATCCCAACCCGATCTTCTGTGACAATACTTCCACAAGAGTGATTGCTTATAACCCAATCTTTCACGGTCGAACCAAGCACAATGATATTAACTTACATTTCACAATCACATATCAACCAAAATGAAAACAATCAGTCATAACAACATCGAAGACTAGCAGCAGATCTTTCATCAAAACTCTCTCCATGACCAGATTCCAGAAAATTTTTTCTCAAAAGTGAAGAAATTGCTTGGGTCCTTCATAGATGATTTCAAGAAACTATTTTTATTTTGAAATTTATAATTAAATAATAAGCTTAACAGGTTTGAAATGTTTGATGTAGAAGTTCTCTCAACACCTTAACAGGTTTGAAATGTTTCATGCATTCGGTCAAAATCAACCACCAATAGATGAAGAAAAATTCAAATATATGAGAATGATGCCTCGTCATAATTTAGGATATAGCACATAGCACTTTCATCCATAGAATCAGAATACACTGCCTTTTCTGACGCGATAAAGGAGGCTCTATGGATAAGAAGATTAATATGCGGGCTACTTGAAAAAAAAAAAAAACATGGTACATATTTACTGTGATTAATCAAGGAGTTGCATGCTTGTAAGATAATAAAATTCATCGCGAATAAACCAGGATTGTAGATAAGAGATTTCATTTTATCAGTATTGTGTGATTAAAGATATGATAAAGACCATAAAGATTTTACTGATCACAAGCTAAATTATAATTTGTCCAAGACTTTGGCTTTAAGAAAATTTCGGTATTGCTCACAACTTCTAAATGTTGGTTCTAAATGAGATAGCTCAATATAAATGAGTGTGTGTGTGTGTGTGTGTAGGCGTTGAAAGCGTATGATAAAAAGTTAAAAGCAAAACTACTGTTCAAGCAACTGTCAAATTGAAAAGAATAGACTCTAACCACTTTTCACCTCCAGAAACAAATCTGCAAAAGACGCTTTTGATCCATCGACCAACTTACTGATCTCCTCCACTTGTTTCTCCAATATTCCAATAAATTCTGCTTCACCGGAACTTTCTTCTGAAAAAGAAATGACTGAAGCAGTCTCACCCACCTTCTCAGAATTCAAAAGATTCAAGAATCCGGAAATGACTGGATGCTCATCAATGCTTCTGTCAGACAATTTTAGAATCGACATAGATGGAACAGTTACAGTTTCCCCTTTTAGCTCAGAATTAAGCCATTTTATTTCAAATGTACATCTGCAGTGGACCCGCCTTGAGTGTTTCACTCTCTTTGGCTGTGAAGGAAGGTTAAATGAAACAAGGGAGTAAGGTCTCAAAGAAAAACCAGTCATTAAGATATGAATCTGAAAAAAATGTGATGCTTTTAAATTTCTCGAATGTTTATACAAGTTTATTCTCCAGCATCTTGGTAAAATTATTTAGTTCATCTAAGTTTTCTATGTATCCTTAAAACTTAAACAATAATAAATCATCATCAGTATCCTTAAAACAACTATTTCTGCTTATCTGAAAGAATCATTCATTGTCATCCATTTCCAGTAGGTGTTTTTCTACAACTTATATTCATCATACCTCCTCTATAGAAGCATCAATGAACAAGCTCTTAGATTTAGTTTTCTGCAAAGCAAGAACGCGTTCACCTCCATTGATATTAGTACATTCATCGCCCTCTAGCGGAGTTGAACGAAAACGCAAACGTGATAAAGCTTCTTCTTTATTGCTTATTACATCCTCCTCATCATTTCCAAAATCCACTATAATACCAACACTGGGATCACCAGAACTGCAAAGACACACATAAGGGATTATAAACGGCCAATGCACATAATATATTAATCATTAGTGTAATTGTAGCAATAATACTTGTAACACGGAAACTTCAAACAGATAGATCACTATTTACTGAAAAGATTATACTGATGATATACTGACGAAGAATAATTAACCAAATTCACTCTGCAGCTCTAGAAACAGAGGAAAAAAAGCTCAATTTGCAGAATATTAAAAAAAACGATAAAGAATCTAAAAGCAAGAATATCGGGGAACTCAAAGAGCTGATTCATTTGAAAACTCATTGATCGGAAGAGGCAAATCCAGTGCGATTGAAACAAAAATGAGAGAACCTTTGGAAGATACGACAAGGGTGCCATGAGCCATCTTCCTTGCGCATCGCCTCAAGCTCCAAGGAATCCATCTTCATCGCAGCCATTTTTAGACCGATCTGGAGATGAGCTCCTCAAATCAAAGCAAGAAGAGGCAGACGCAAGGTGTCAGGGTTCTTGTCGGAGCTCAGCTGTTCGAAGAAGAGATGGACAAGAGAGTTGGACTTTGCGACAGCACAGAGCTCCATTTTCAGGTTCAGTAATGGGGTAAAAGGTAAAAGGTAAAACAGTCTTTCACATTTTCGCTATCTACTTTCCTAAGCAAACATAGACTGTAGATGCAACATAAAAAATTATTAGCCAAAAATACCGTAGAAAATAAAAATTAAATAAATGTTTCTTTTTTTTTTTTTTTTTTTTTTCGTCAATATGACCACTTTTCTCAAATTAAAATATCCCACTTTTTTAACAAATAGAACCAAAACTCTCTTTAAATTTAAGAGACATTTTAATCATAGGAACTCCTTGAATTTTTTTTTTTAATTTAGCATCTTTTTTTTATTTTTTGTGATTCAAACATGCAAATTATACGATAATATTTTATCGATCCATCGTCAATAGAGTTAGAGATATTATTCATTGATTGATTGAGATTTAATATGATGTTCGCAGTATAAAACCTAAAGTCAAAATATAGAAAGTCAATCATATTACTTATAAGGAACTTGTTAAAATCATGCATGAACCATAATTAAATCATGATCGAGCAAATTTCAAACAAGAATTGAACTCGCTTCAAATAACAATTGTGTAATTAACAAATTATTTTTTAAATATCAATGATTACAACCGAACATTCTTTGGTCATGATTAAACAATCTTTAGATAATCAACACACCATGATTCAAACAATCTTAGAACCATCTTTACATCATATATGAGAATAGCTTCAATCTTAATTGAACCATCTTCAAACTAGGATAAAAGATATAAAAGATGGTTCGATCATGGTTCAATCATTCTTTTGTCATGGTCGAAAGTCGCTTCAAGATTATTCGAAATAAAAAAGAAGTTGATTTGATTGTAAAATGTTTGTAATTCAAATAATGTTCAACTATAACTCAATTATGATCTCTCCTTTTAGACATTTATTCAAAGCTTCTAAATATGGCTCTATAGTGGGGTCTGATTCATCAACTAACAATGATAATACTTTATGAAAGGAAAGGAGAGATATTTTATTATATTTAATATGAGAGGAAGGAACATCAAACTTAACATTGTTGAGTTTGTCTTGATCATTAACTTGAACTTTAAAGAATTTTTCTCTCTTCAACCTTGACAAACACAATATTAAGTTCACTTAGATGATTAACATAATTTAAGATGAGAAGGATTTATTAAGATTTATTAAGGATTTATCAAAATGTTGCGCTTGAAGGCCAGTAAGATGTTCACAAGCAAAATAATGTGCTTAAATTTTTTTTAGAATATTTAAGTAATTTAAATAGTTAATGCACATATAATCGGGTGATTACTTTAAATGGTGATATCTATAAAGTGTATTTAATTATCTCTCATAATATTTAAAATAAAATAATGTACTTAATTATCTCTCATAATATTTAAAATAAAATTAAAATAAATTTGTAAATATAATATTTAGTGGTTTTAATATCAACTTATGTGAATTAAATGATTATAATATAAATAATTAATCTAAGATGAAAATTGAAGTTATTGAATTGACTTTGAATCGAATGCATTCTTTAGGAATTAAACTCTCTCTTATGTTGATTTCTTTTAAGAAAATTTATGGATTTAAAAAAGTTATGAATGCTATCATTTCTTTAATAACATGCACTAATTATTTAGTACAATAATTTTTAATACTTATTGGTGTAATATCTCTTCATCATTAAGATATTTTATTTTATTTTATTTTTCTTTATTATTATCTTCTCTTGCCAATGTATATGGAGCAAGTTTGTGCTACCATAATTCAATCAAACAAAATTGTTGTACTTATTTTTTTTCTATCATGGTTTCATATTCTTGTTTCAAAACTCATTTATGATATTTTGTACACAATTAATTATTTTCATGATCTTAACTAGCCCACCACCAACACATTTTTGCCCTCCCTCCCTCTCTCTCTCTCTCTCTCTCTCTCACACACACACACACACACACACACACAATCATGTCAAAACAAAAAAAATGGAATAACATTCTTCCAATTAGCAATTATTCTCTCTTTAAACAACATTGTTGATGATGTAACATCATTATTTAACAACTAAAATGAACCAATGTATCCTTTGACTTCCTTGGCCAAAAGATCATTGGTATGATGTCGTCAATATTCATTTCCATGCTCTATAGCATCCTCCTCATTTAAAACCTTTCCCTGATACTATCTTCAATTTTTTTCTCTTCCTTTACTTTAGTGAGCAATGCAATCTTAATATACATCATATTACCCTCTAATCACTCAACTAAAATATATAATTGATTAAAACTTATCAGTTTTCTCCACCATTGCAATCCTACCTTATCATAATCCTCATCTTTGTAATCTTTTACTCTCTCCCATTTGATACCTAATTAGTGATCCTCCTCTTACATAATTTTTTTATCATCAGTCAATACCTATGAACTCTAAATTGCCACTATGAATCTTTTCAATGATCACATGGTTTGCCACTTATCACCTCAATATGATTACCTATAACTTCCCAACTCCCTCTTAATGACTATATCAATGGTTTTTTTTTTCTCTAGGATTTTAAAGATTTCACCGACAAACTATTCGAGAATGTTACCATATATGTTCTCACATGCATCAAATATTTATAGTAAAAACCTATGGTATTTTTTATCATAATATTTCTATGTTTGAGAATATTTTTTTTATGTTTCCTCATATTTTTATCTTCTCTTGTTTATATATATGAAATTTTATAATATCTTAATTCAATTAAATAAGGATGCCATAATTTATAATTCTAACAACGACAACTATTATCTTACATAGATCTTATACTCCCAGAAGTTCTATCAAAATTATAGCCAAACTAAAAAAGGATAATCATAAGTGACACCGAATTTATTAATAAATTTCTAGAAATTTATTGACAATACTTAAAATTGATGAACTTTTATTTTAAATTTATATTTTTTCACTACTATATAATGACAAATCATATGGCATAAATTGTTTAATATTTTTTTCTAGTTGGTATTTATGCAATATTATTTTGAGGTTGATGATCATCTTTTGACTCGATGCTAAGCCTAAATATGATGATTTTATTATATTATAATCACGATGAAAGCTTTTTAATCATACTACTAATTTAAATTTGTTACAAAAAAGCCATTTGAACTACTTGTAAGGAAATATGTGATCTAAAGGCTACATTACAATTCTCCAATAACTTGCTTTCATTTTTCTAGTTGTGCTTGATGCATATAATATGACATAAAGCTTTATATCAACCTCAATCAATTAGAAATTGGCATTGGCCACATCATTAGTTGTCATTCATGATTATTAAACTCTCTCAGAAGCAATGGTTCATAATTGTCAATTATTTTCTTAGTCAAGTTGAATTGAATAACTCCATTAAATAAATAAATCAAAGATCATTACAAGCCTACAAATTATAAAGTATTAATTGGATGAATCATTATTTTTAGATCATACACCTCCAAAAATTATATGTGTTGATCACTTATTGAAACTGAAGAGTTATTGCAATACCATGTTTATATAAAATTCAATACTGATAACTTTAATAAAAAATTTGCTCATTCATAAAATTCAATTATATTTGGGTGGTTGTACAATTGAGAAACCTTCAAATCCTCAAATGAAATATTTAAAATTTACATTTTAATGCTCAATATTTCTTTATTAAAATTTTAAAAAATATATGAAAAAAATTAACCCTCATAAAGGAGCGAAATGGGATGATATTGTTTGATTAAGCGAAAAATGCTTCAAGCCTGCGAACCTATTACAAGAGTTTTATAATACAAATCAGTATAAATAGTAATAAAAAACTAATCTTTTGCTTTACTACTCTGAAATATTAAACCATCTTTAAACATATATATATATATATATATATATA